AGCTAGAGCATTCGCCAAGGTACAGGATGGTTCTAGAAACGTGGCGTCACACTAGTCATGTGACTCGCTGACGCAACAATATCATATTTCAAGTTTCTCAGTTTCATTTTAATTTCACATCGTTTGAGTCTTTTAACGAAATTTGGAGCTAAAAATCTCTGTCACAGTGAGGTCGCATAGATATGCATTTAAGCAAATTAAAACTGTATTATCTATTCAAGTAGTATATAATATTGTAAACTAAATTTTCAATGTTTCAATCTAGATCTGAGCTAGAGAGTGCATGAATATCTAGATGACATCACAAAAATCTAGTAATTTCGCCGAATATCTAAGACATTAAATATATATGTGAGTGGGACAGTAAATTAGTAAGCTAGTAGTTAATCAATGAAGCATTGAGCAGTTTTGATTTTGATATGGTAGAGTGCCAAGTATTCAGCGAAGTATTTAATTTTAGTAAAGTATTTGGATCAGTGTTAGTTATTAGCCATAAAATTGTGCATTTAAGTTTATTTCTATACTAATTGTACTATCATTAGCGAGGTAGTTCCCTTTGAACGTCATTTGTAGACTTAGATCTACAAGTTACAACAGTGTACAAGTGAAGGTAGCTTTTTGAAACCTTTAATGGAGAAATACATTAATTTCTTATTGTTATGTATACTGGACGTCGAATTATTTTCACAAAATAATTTAAAATGATCATGAAAGAACAAGATTACAAAACTGGTGTAAGAAGTGGGTTTGGTTGGGTGAAAACACAATATACTTAGGCTCAGTCTCAACAATTTGACATGACAACTAGATCCAGAAATGAGATCGAAGCCTTACTGGAAATGAGGAAATCATTAAAAGAGGGTCAAGAAGAATGAGGTAGAAGATTGAAATTAAACCAAGAAGAAATTTACAGAAAATTAAAAGAAAACCAAGAAGAACGAGACAAAAAAAGTTTAATAATGAGACAGGAAATTAAAAGAAAACCAGGAAGAAATTTATAGGTAACAGGAAGATGAGCAAGAGAGGGACAGTAATTTAAGGGAAGAATTAAAATAAAGAGATG